CAGTTCTGGGATGTGAGAACTCCCCTGAGAATGGAGCCTTGGCCTTCGGCCAAAAGCTGAGAACAACCACAACATGGTAGCTGGGAGCATTGGTGCTAAGCCAACAATCCGCACTCCCAGCCACTGGGGGAAAAATGTTTTCATCCTGAAGGGAATGAAGGAGTATCTGAATAGCACACCTCAGTGTTTGCTGAAACAGTGTAGAACTTTAGCAAGATCTTGCCAATCAAAAACTTTTTGAAGTATTTTGAATTATAGTCACCATATAAGAAAAGGTAATAATAATATTTGTTGAGCAGATGACAATCCTATAAAATTGGAATTGCTACTCAGAATAATGACTCGGAGGTTCTGCAAAATCTACAGTTGGAAAAAAATGCACTTAAAGCTTCCTCTTGTGTAACATATTCCACCAGATACTGGGAACTATATAAATACACTGTATATATATATATATATATACACACACACACACATACACATTTATATATTTACTTTTGCAAGCAACTCTTCATCTGGCTAGTGAAAATGAACACATGGAAGTACAATGTTTGTATTAATAGTTATTTAAATATTCCATAGGATGGAGATAAATTGGAGACAAAACCTTCTAGGTTAAGAGGAAGATAGTGAGATAAAACTGCCAAATAAATTTAGAATGGAAGATGACAGAAAGAAGTCCATCATTAAAGTTAAGGCTAGAGGGTCAAACTCAGAACAAAATATAGGGGACATCTGAATGCCAAGATAGGGAGTGTTGGATTTATGCTACAGCATATATAGAAGCTATCTCAGTTAAAGATCAATCCTATGTTGTGGGCTACTCCCTCTGTTAGTGGTCCCAGATTTAACTGGAGGCAGAGATATAGATTAGGAGACCAAGCTAGTTACGAGATTACAGCAGTAGTCCAGTTAAGAGTGATGAAACATTAACACAGGGTAATGACAATAAAAAATGGATATCAATGCAAATTTTTTTGTTTAGATCCTTGTAGTAAGATATTGGACTGAAGATAAACTATTCCCCTCCAAACCTCAGGTGTTGCCAATGGGATAGCATTAACAGGTGGGTCCTTTAAGAAGTGATTAGGGTATGTGAGAGCTCCTCTTTCATGAATGGGATTAGATGGTCTCATAAAGGGGCTTAACAGAGGAAGTTCATCTCTCTTGCTCTTCCACCTTCCACCATGTGAGGACACAGTGTTCCTCCCCCTCCAGATGACACAGCAAGAAAGCCCTCACCAGACGCCGGTGCCTTGATCTTGGACTTCCCTCCCTCTAGAACTGTGACAAAATAAATTTCTTTTCTTTATAAATTACCCAGTTTTAGGTATTCTGTATAAACAGCACAAAACAGACTAAGACGGGGTATACAGTAACAATTTCTGCAAGTCTAAAATTAGTTCAAAACTATTAAAGAGAAAGAATGTATAGGAAGAAAAAGTTTTTAGAGCAACTGAAAGAATGGACAGAGTTCAGACACTGATGAGAAAGCGTGAACTCTTCTGTGCAAAAGACCATATAAAAATTCTTTATTGCTTTGTTTTGTTGTCTAGTGTATTTACTTTAACTTTTTAAGAAAAAATTCCATTCCCCTATTATTGATAAGTAACACATTCTCAGAATAAAAAAGTAAAGTCAAGGTTTAATGCTCAGTATGATATTAAGTTCATGAGTCTGAACATTCAGTTCCAATAACTGCCTAGGCACTGGAAAGAGAAAAATAAACAAATTGTCAAAAATTCCCATCATGCTTTCTTTTGGCACCAACTGATCAACACTATGGTGCTCACACGGTAGTAATATTCTTCAGAGATTGGGGGGTGGGGGTGGGTAAACCCACAATTAATGGACGCAGTGAGTGTGGTAGTGGGGAAAAGCCATGCCTTAAATCATGGTTTGGGTGTGGTAAAGTCATAACATGTAACCAAAATGTTTGTACCCCCATAATATCCTGAAATAAATAAATAAATAAAAAATGTTTGTACCCCCATAATATCCTGAAATAAATAAATAAATAAATAAATAATCCTGTCATTACTAAAATTACCTTTTAATGGGTGATCAAATTAAGGAATACCTTCATACAGAAAAAAATATTAATAAATCCAAATATTTTCTGAAGGACAGTATCATCATACATAATATGTGGGGTAGGTGTGCTTGGGCAAAGTAGTATGGAGTGAATAGTTTTGCATATAGAATAGTTCTAACTTGTTTTGAAACACTTATCTGTTCTTTGGGGAAAATCCTTTAACCCATTCTTAGTCTTGGATTTAAATCTACAATGTATGTGAGGATTGTTATGAGAATTAGACAAAATCATATATGTAGGTACCTAGCACAAAAATAACTATATGCTAAGCCAGTCACTACTAACTCTGCCTGTGTATTAGGTTCAACCTTTGAAAAATAGATCCCTGAGGTCCCTTCCAGATCTATGTAATAATAAGACGGAGACAGTGGTGGAGTATTTTTTTTTTTAAATCCTCTCAGGCAATTCTGATGTAAAGCCTGGTTTAAAATGCCTGTAGTGGGCACAAAACTTTTTAAAATTTAACTTCATCCTTTTTTCCCTACAGACATTAATTTTTATTGTGATTACTTTGAAGAACTCTTACTCAGATTTACTTAAAGTATTTTTTTCATACTGCATAAAGAGTCATGGAAACTATTTGATGTTAAATGGAATGTAGAGATATTTTCTCAGGAGTTTACAAGGCTGATGGTGAGCATATCTAGTTCTGTTGATTATTGTAACTTGATCTTATCTTATTATGACAGAAAGCCCATCACATGACCATTACTGGTGTAGGAATAAGTGGCTGGGTTTCTATCATCCAAATGCTCTGTGATTCAGGTTTTCATATGCAAAGGTAATTATTTTTATCCTGAAAACCTCAAACTTGTGTGTGAGGATCAAATGTAATAATATGAAGTATAGAAGAGCAGCTGAGAGGATAAATTTGAGTCAAACTCTCTTGAACCAGAACATTTGGTCAATATTTTATCTCTAATTTTTACTAATTCTGTTTCCTTGGCCAAGTAACAAAACTGTTCTAAGCTTTGATTTTCTAATCTGTAAAAAGGAAGGTGATAGTTATTGTTACATCATAAGTTGTGGAGATAATTCACTATATTAATTTATGCAAAGAGTACAGAAGAGTTATTGATAGTAGGAGCTTACTGCCACTATTGTTATATTATTTGTGTATACAAGTGAAACTGAATAATAAACAAATCTTTTATAATTTTTAGTGATAGTGGATGTTTTATAGTTATGTGTAGCTTTGCATAATGGTTTTGATAGCAGTACATTTCATCAATTAAACTTGTGGGGAAACACAAAAAGACCATCGCAGATGTAACAATATGTTCATATGCTTAGTAAGAAAGTGATTTTGTTAGGAAAATTGTCCAAAAGAAAACACACACACACAATCTCATATTCTTCCATCCAATCTATTTCACATCAGTTTCCTCTTCGGAATAAAATTGCCTTGGGATCAAAAATAAAAAGTGTTCAGTGTAGTAAGCATGAGACTAGGCACTGAGCACATCATCAGTACAAGCT